TTGTTTCCATCCCTCCTGATTTTATATAGTTTTTAATGCTATTTTAAATTTTCTTTAACATACATAGCAACTCCGCCTCCATTCTTGTTGATTTATCTGTAGAATAATTTATACCCCAGTATGTGCCATTCAGCAGGCCTGTCTATATTTTGCAGATTGAACCATGTCTCGGTTATTGCAATAACGTCTATATTTCTTGTTCAAGCCTGTCATGAATAATATAACATCAAAAGGGCTTCTACCCCTGGCTGTCTTCAAGCTGGCACTGGACAGACACCTAAAGTCGGTACCTGACCAGCCGGGCTGTGGTTCGTACGTTGGATTGCGTGCAGCCAGCAGTAACAGCCTGGTTGATCAGGCTCTGATCCATCAGGAGGCCTGGTCACAGACCGGGCCGCGGGGGCGTTGACCCCCGGAACTCTCTCCAGGTAAACTCCAGGTAATAACAAAGGAGATGAAGGGGAAAAGTAAAAGCATTGCTACTTTTTTGCTAACTTATTCGCCAGTGAAAAGCATTGCTACGGTTCTTTGTTACAAGATGAGCTTTTCAGTGTTTCTGGCAGATGGCGTGGGCGTTGCAGCAAGGGTAGCAGATGCCAGCGGAAGGCCTCGGTCAGATGGCCAAAGCTCCAAAGGCGGGTCATCATCTGACTCAGACCCGCGTCAGGAAACATTTGTCCTGTTTCCTGACGAACCTTACGTAACCTAACCGTTCTATGGTGGGCCACGGCAGCAGCAACCACAGAGTGCACCTATCACGAGCAGCCGAAGCTTCAAAACCGGCTCAAGGGAAATGATACCAGTGAGGGGCTCTTCATCCAGGTAACTGGACTTATCTTTCCCTTCCTTGGATCAAACCTGAATGCCTTTCAGTCCCCCAGGTGCTATATGACCTCTACATGTTTAGCTTAAGATAAAATGAACAATGCAGGAAGATAGACAAGATAGGTAAGGGAACCAAATATGAGGGTAAGAGAACTAAAAAAAAAGTGATTAGATACTGTAGGAAGGGTAGTAAGAAGGGAAGGTTAGGAAGTTGGAAGACAGGTAAGGTAACATGAGATTTGATAAATTTGCCACAAGGCCTCGTGTGGGACGTTCAACACACATGATAAACAACAGTGAACGCCTGTTAGTTGCAAACCCAGCCTGAAGGTCACGGAACTACTTACTATTTTGACTTAAGTAGCAACGCTCTTCTTGCCGAATACGGCAAGCGAAAATTTGTGTATGCAGTAATTTAGCAAAAACCGCTCTGAACCTAACGAAAGATATATTTCATTGTGTTTGTTTATTATTAAATTACTGTAAACTTAGGCTAAATTAAATTGCGTTTGTTATAATAAGGTTAGGTAAGTTTTCTAAGGTTCTTTTGGTGCAAATTTAATTTTTACATTAAAATAAGTGAAAATTTTATCTTTAAACGTATAAGAGAAATTCTTAGAAAGGACTTGGTTTTAAATGAGTTCTTGCTAATTGACCAGTTTTAACTATTCGGCACGACACACACACACTACAATATATAAAATATTTGTCCGCATACCTCGGTTATTCTTATCTATGACACGAGTGATGACTTTCTGTAATACTGGATTTTTTATTCAAGCGTCCTTTTTTTGTTTAACCTCGTCGGAGGCAATTGCTAGCATGTATGGGTGGGACTTCTCCAGCTTCAGTTCAGTCCCGTGAACATGTTGGATTCTTAATATCAGTATATGGTGAATTTTATATTTATACGGGAGTATATATAAACTAATTTTATTCCTTTGGAACAACATTTGACTTGAGTGTTAGTTTGAGACTTGATCAACACCTGTTTAGGACTGTTTCAAGCCTAGACTTGAGCCTAATGTTGTCCACTACACTTGGGTTTGTCTCTTTATGGTTAAGTTTTTCCTTGTAGGTCTAACAATGTAGGTTTCAGAGCCAGACTTGTAACTGTTAACAATGTTTCTCCTCTAACAGATTATGATTTAACATTAATAATAAAAAGCAAAGGCACTAACGAATACTGCTGTAGGCCTCCTGACACATTAGACAGGTCTTACATCCAGCCATTTCTGCTCAGTATTTGCCCAAACTCCTTTTAAGGTCTACCTAGAATATTTCGGGGATCAGCACCCCCGCCACCCGGTCCCAGACCTGGCCTGATCGACCTGGATGTTGTTGCCAGCAGCACGTAGCTTGTCAACCAATTATATTCGTTGTGGTTGCGATAGTAAGTGTTGTGAGCCTTGAATGCGAGATCCTTTGACATGGTCATTTCCAAGTCTCTCACTATTGAACAATTAGAGTTTGTCTTGTACTTCGTTTCAGCCTTTAATTCCTCTTTTTTTTTCATAGAGAAGTAACTGAAATTTGTCGTCGTTGAACTTGGTTTATATCAGCGTGTGAAGGTTCGCTGTCCTCTATGGACGCCACTCATAATTCTAACATCGTCTTCAAGGACGATACTGTGCTATGATTTCTATATGTTTATGTTGGATATTAGAATGAGAGAAGTTTAACAAGTATTATACCTTGAAGATCAGTTTTTCCAGTTTTCGCCCCCAATATCACTGTTTACTTTTGATCTTAGGTTTTATTTAGGAAGTTAAATATCCATTTGCCCACTTTTCCAATTATTCCCTTTGCACCCACTGTGTGTGCTATTATACCGTGGTTGAATTTTTCGAAGGCTTTTACAACGTCAGTGCATTTTCCTTTGCTCTAGATGCATTGGCAGACATATCGCAATGATCCAACAATTGCAAAAGGGAGGAGCTACCAAGCTTTAAGCCCATGGCACCCTGGCATTTGTTTTAATGACACTACTTGACAGTTCAACCCGCCTACCAATTTCGATATAACAGTTATATCCCCTTCTTGCATCTGTAAACTTAATCATATACCCCCCCCATATTCTACAGTATAGACTTGAAATACATACGACATATCCCCACTTTTATTAATGTTAAATGCACTTGAAGTTCATTGTGTTAAGCGCAGTTATAAGGGTCTGCAATATGTTCCGTTCTAGAACGCCTGACTTAAGTCGCCCATTATTTTCAATCAGCCGTATGTAAATATAGGTTAATTTGCATTAATCTAACTGAGAATGACAAATATTGGTTCATGTAGAGGCTTATATCTGGCATAAATCCATGAAAGATAATGTGTTTGCGAATACACCAGCCCTCTTTAGAAAACAGGCTGCCTAAGGAGGCTATAGTATGTAAAGACAAAAACAATACAAACTAGAAGGTCTGTAAATATTTAAATGAAAGACAGAATTTATAAATACAATATTCATATGAAGACAACCAAATATTAGCGAACATTGAACTCGCAGCCAGTAGCACTGGATGTTACGTGCGTCGTTACATCACTCGGGTTATGCAGTAGTTGGTCTGTCAGTAATTTTGAGTGATCTCATGACCTTAACCTTGCATTTGGCTATACGAAGGCCTTGAGAAGTTAGATTTATTTCTGTCTCAAATGCCCCAGAGTGAACTTGTAACTAATGCCAACTCACTCCACAATGTACGCCTCTCAAAGAACGTGCCTTGATGCATCAAGGCATTTTTCCTCCCTTTTCGATTGAACTTTATAATTATGGGGAAGCGTTTAACCCGTAGGGATCATACAGCGCCGGGGGAAGGGGGGGCAGATGATGGAAGGCACTCAGGCTCAGTTCGGGGAACTGGAGCACAGATCCAATTCCCTAGATCAAGAGCCCCTTACCAGCCTCAAGGAACCTCCCGTGAGAGGGTCGATTGAACTTGAATGCCTCCTATTCCCCAGGCATCATGACCTCTATGGGTTTAGTGCTTCCTTCCTGATTAAAATAAAATCTTCGAGTCACCCTCTCAGCACTAACAAAACTAAGTATCTGCAGTAGAGTAGCAACTTCGTAAGGAAACTTGCTTATGAACTCTTTAAAAAGCGATTGGAAGAATTACTTTCACCAATGAATATAACACTGGTTATCAGACGTTCACACCCATAAAGTGTCTTCGAAGCTACATGGCTGCCCTTATATACCTGGAGACACCTGTTGAGGGTTTCGGGGATAACGCCTCCACGGCCAGGTCTGTGACCAGGCTTCAATAATATACTCCTGACCAAGTACTTTACTTTTTTAACATTCTGCTATAATTAGTAAATTTATTTTCACGTAACCTAAAAGGTCGTACACACAGAAATCGAAAAAATAGAGAAACCGACATTTTGATTAGTGTTGACGAGCATTTAGTCGCTCATGTTAACCTTAGCTGACTAGCAGTCCCTGCAGTCCGTGTGACTGGTTCCCTCTCTCCTCGAAGAGGATGGCTAGGAGCGTAACTCTCTCCCGGCCAACTTGTGAGTCAACCTGACCCGTTAAACCCATGTGAGGCCTCACTTGCCTCGACCTGCGCCTACACCGGTTGCAACAGAATTTATTAAGCGAAGTATCGTGATGAAAGTCAGCAGTTAATTAAACATTTTGTATATGAAACTTATTTGTGTGTGTGTGTACTCACCGTCACCCACATCTAGTTACATCTGCAGGGACTAATGCACAGCTCCTGGTCCTACCTCTAAACACAAACGGAGCTCTATATACTCGCCTATATGTGGTTGCAGGGATCGAGTTCCAGCTCCTAGCCCCGCCTCAACTTGGTGCTTGTTAAATTTACTCCTTCCTAGCCTCGTGGGCCGTATTATATCTGTTCTTGAAACTATGTATGTTGCCTCTTTCTACCACCACCTCGCCGAGATCATTCCACTTTCCAACTACCCTGGGACTGAAGAAATATTTCCTGACATCTCTGTATCTCAGAGTTCGTTTCTCGCCTCTAAAACAGCCTGTCCCTGTCTGCCCTATGCTCTTCTAGTTAGGCTACTGAAAAATTAAAGTAACCACGACATTAATATTTATATTAGCAGGAAACTCAAAACCCACACTGTCGGAAGCTTGCACAATAGCATGATTGACTTCGTAATTAACGCGAGAATAGTCCACAGTGTATACTACTTACCTTATAAACTTTGCGAGTATTACAGACTAAGACACTAAACAGGTTGAGAGGTTCGTTTGAGGTGCACGCTTGCCAGTGCAAAGCTTGCTACTGACTCAGGCAGGAGTGGGCAGAGTGCGGGTCACACACTCACTTTCATTCAACCTTGGGTCTTCCCCCTCTGTTCACCTGACCCTCTGGCTTCCCCTACGTCTCTGGCTTTCATCTAGTACTTTTCCTCTACTTTGTCTTTCAAGTGCGATAGATTGGCCAACGAACCGGATGTTCGTGTGGTATTGTTGCTCAACATTGGACTTACACCGATGACAGCGAATAAATGAGATACTATTCTCAAAATGATTGCATTTAGTGAGCTGTTAATTAGACTAAAGACTGACAGTTGATTTTTTTTATGAATAGTAACCAAAATCTTGACATCTAAAATTTCCACCCTAACCTAACCACTGGACTTTGAAAAAGCCATTGACAACATGCTCACACACTTTGCGCTGCATGACCCTTGTCGGTTTAGCGCTTTCTTTCATTATAATCACACACTGCTCCAGGCCCAGACTCGTTGAACTTTGTGTTCAACAAGAATTACAAGGGACCTCTATATAGCATGTCTTAAGTATTCTATGGGCACGGGTCATCCCACAGTCGCTAAAACGACAGATGTTGTCTCGCTCCACAAAGGTGTCAGTAAGGATAATATTATAGACAGATAGTTCTAACGTATGGTATCACCAAGATCGCCAGCCCCTTAGATTCCCAACATGTCACCAACCCTGACCAGCATGAGTTCGGAGCAGGTCGCCCCTGCCTCTCACTATTACTGGACCACTATGACATGGTCTTGGATGCACTGGAAGACAAATAGAATGCAGATGTAGTTAGCATTCACAGACCTTGCAAAATTCTTCAAGTGCGCACAATACGTACAAAGGGAATAACTGAACAAGTGAACAGATGGATCTTCAACTTTGTATTTAAGAGAACACAAAGAGTAATAGTAAACAGTTAAGTCAGAGGCTGCCACAGTGAAAAGCTTTATTTCACAAGGTTCAGTCCTCGCCCCCATCCTTTTCTCTATCCTCATATCCGGAGATGTAAGCCATAAAACCGTGTCGTCCTTTGCAAATGATACTAGAATTTGCATGAGTGTCATCCAACAAGGACACTGCAAATCTTCAAGTTGATATAAACCAAGTCTTCAGATGGGCCGCAGAAAATATGTTCAATAAAGACAAATTCCATCTACTCCATTATTGAAAACTTGAGGAATTGAAAGCTAGAACACAGTATAAGACTAATTCTAACCACACAATAGAGCGGAAAACTATGTGTCATCACAACTGCGAAGAAAATGACAGAATGGATACTAAAAACCTTCAAAACAAGAGATGTCAAGTCAATGATAATCCTCTTTAAGTCACTTGTTCTATCTAGGCTGGAATATTACTATACGCCGTTAAAAAGTATCCACAAACCCCCCTTCCCCTGTTAAAAAGTATCCATGAACCCCCCTCCCCCCGTTAAAAAGCGGAAGTTGCAAGTCTACAATGACTGGCATTTGCTGGTAATTTCTGTATTTTTGCTGCTGAGTTCGTTGTCCGGTTCTTTGAACTTTTATTTATTCTTTTGAAGAAAATCTCCCCCTAGTTATGCTAACACATGGCCAAGGTTATCGGTGTACTGTATAATGTATTCTGTATGACCCTTGTGGGTTTAACTCCTAGTTTTGATTGTATAACCTTTTATAATTCTCTTCCTTGTGACTATGTTAATGTAAATCTGACGGATCTTGACCTTGTTAAAGCCCACAAATGACAGGAAGAAACTATGAAGCAAACATAAGGTCACCCCAGGTATGATTTCTGTTAAAGTAAGCCTCTGCAACTGAATGACGGAGGACCCTAAACAAGGGCAATAATATATTAATAATTTTGATATTTAAAAAAATATTCAAATCTCGTAGCTTTGTTACAGATTACTCTCAGGTAATAATCTTTTAACGTAATCGCTTTATCTCTCTCCTCTCTCTCAGCATGGTTGTTACGAGGAGGGGTCCAGGAACTATAACTCATCCAACACACTAAGTAGGTGAGTAGTGACTGACCTAGATGCTGTGATGTGAGACGACAGATACGAATCTTTATTCAGAGACTAACAGCCTCACACTGAGGCTCTCGCGAGTGTTAGCAGCATAAAACAGGCGGGACTATTATATTTTAACCCATCCTAAGGCAAAACTTTTTTTTTACTATGGATTAAAGCCGATTTATCTGTATATCTATATTAGCTGAGTTAGAGCAAGTCAGTGTTAATTAACCACTCAAAACCAACGTTTTGGCTAAGGGTCAACGTCGCTTTCTTTCCAGTCTTATTAAATAACCAATGTTCTTTTACAAAAATAATTTTAAAACTCTTATGGATTATTCAGCGCACCTGAATTGTTATATAGTAAAGTTCTTCAAGGTGCCTGTGCGTGTGGCTTGCATTAGTGTATTAATTGTTTAACAAGGTGATGGTGCATAAATTCGTGTCTATGTATACTGAGAATTTCTCTTGTGAAATTGTGTGCTTTATGATAGCGAATTTCTTGGTTAAGTCGACGGCAAACAATATTGCTCTGTTGAACAATATTATTTGTTGTTGTGCTTCAATGTAGTAATAGAGAGGGGAAATGCCTGTTGCATCCTGGGTTCCCAACCGGTGTCTGAGGAACTCCACAACTTAATAAGGGATTCTCATTCATTTTGCCATGTAGTAAATAATTCGCAAAACTATCATTGTTAATGAAACATTACGTTATCCTGGTGGAAAATTAGCCTAGTCAGAATATTTGTTACAGTCGAAACAATTTATAGTTACTAGATAAACTTGCTGACCTAGCCAAAAGTCAAAATTTTTTATGTATAAAATTATCTGAAGGATATAATGTTACATTCGATGCATTGGTTAACTTTTATTTATTAACTTGTTTGTTAGCTTAATGGAAGCCACCATGAACTTAGAAATATTTGTGATTAGAAATTCTAGCCTAGTCTGAGCATGAGAGTTGATGGCACTGCGTATGTACACAAGACTACAAGAGGCAACATCAACACTGTGACCACGGTGATGTGGTTGAGCGAGTAGACAGGCCACTGTACCTCTGATAGCACGAGCGTCAGCTTCTGTTGACTACGCTAGTGATGTTACACTTTAGTACAGTACTTAGGGCTGGTTTGTTCACTGCGAAAGCGCTCTCTCGTACACACATTTATAATTATATATTATATATATATATATATATATATATATATATATATATATATATATATATATAAATATATATATATATTATAATATATATATTGCCGTCTCCCACTGAGGTAGGGTGACCCAGAAAAAGAAACACTTTCACCATCATTCAATACGCCAGACGCGTGTAAGTACGACTATTCAGATGTTCCTCCAAACAAGGATTGGTTTTGCTACGAGTGCTAAAGAGAGTCTGGATGAATTCGAGTCTAGAGCAGTTATAGATGCCTTTTGATTATAATAATCCTGGAACCTTAGCCTACTTAAGAGATTCCTCTTCACTTGTATTTGAGGGCAGTGTAGCATTGAAAATCTTATACTGGTTACGTTAAAATTATTTTTTGTCTAGCAGATTGTTGTTATTTTCCTCATCGCTTGTACTTGCATTTTCTTTCAAAATGAAACTTCCTGGGTTAATGCATGTTAATAAATTTGACAATTATATTGAAAACACTTTCTTCTCAGCTTCGTTTGTATACAAGGATAGGATTAACAACCCAATGGATTTTCTTCCATTAAGGGGAATCGGGTATTATATATGCTACTATGGTAATGCACTCACTAGTACGAAAGAGTGAAACTGCCTTAGACAGTATGTGTCGGCAGCAGATATTATGAACATCATCTGATCCACCACTGTACTTAGTGCTTGAGTTGGCATCTCTCCTCTCTCTCCCTTAACTACATACCTGGAGAGGGTTTCGGGGGTCTGAGACCAGGCCTCTTGGTGGATCAGGGTCTGATCAACCAGGCTGGCCTCACGCAAACTGGCGTATGGACCACATCTCGGCTGGTCAGGTACTGACTTTAATTGCCTGTCCAGTGCCTTCTTGAAGACAGCCAGGGGTCTATTTGTAATCCCCTTTATGTATGCTGGGAGGCAGTTGAACAATCTTGGGTCCCTGACACTTATTGTGTTGTCTCTGTGTTCTCGTGGCGCCCCTGTTTTTCATTGGAGGGATGTTGTATTTCCTGTCGAGTCTTTTGCTTTCATAAGGAGTGATTTTAGTGTGTAAGTATATTATGCATCTCTTTCGCCTGTTCCAGGAATACAAATAAAGGGACTTCAAGCGTTCCCAGTAATTTAGGTGCCTTATCGTGCTTATGTGTGCCGTGAAAGTCCTTTATACACTCTCCAAGTCAGCAATTTCGCCTGCCTTGAGTATTCCAGCCTTAAGAGAACAAGCGATTTGAAGAGAATCATCATGGGCTTGGCGTCCCTAGTTTTGAAGGTTCGCATTATCCATCCTATCATTTTCCTAGCAGATACGGTAGATATATTGTTGTAGTCTTTGAAAGTGAGATCCTCTGACATTATCACTCCCAGGTCCTGCACATTACTTTTTCGCTCTATTGTATGGTTAGAATTTGTTGTATACCCTGATAGTTTTAATTTTCATAAAGTTTTCCATATCTGAGTAGTTGAAATTTCTCTTCATTGAACTTCATATTGTTTTGAGTGGCCCATTGGAAGATTTGGTTGATGTCCGCTTGGAGTCTTGCGGTGTCTTCGATGGAGGACACTGTCGTGGCAATTCGGGTGTTATCCACAAAGGAAGACACGGAGCTTTGGCTTACATCTCTGTCAGATATAAGGATGAGGAATATGATGGGAGCGAGTACTGTGCCTTGTGGAACAAAGCTTTTCACTGTAGGTGCCTCAGACTTTACTCTGTTTACTATTACTCTGTGTTCTGTTTGTCAGGAAATTATAGATCTATCTACCATCTTTTCCTGTTATTCTTTTATCATGCATTTTGTGCGCTATTACACCGTGGTCACACTTGTCGAAGGTTTTTGCAAAGTCTGTGTACTACATCTGCATTTTGTTTATCCTCTATAGCATCCAGAATTTTGTCATAATGGTCCAG